TTTTTTCTTAAAGCATTTATTCTTTTTCTTCTTCTGAGGTAAGTGTAAGATAATATTTACAATCAGAAGTCACTAGAATATACTTCACAAAAGTATTATTCCTTCAAGACCTCGTGAAGTTCATCATTTTCCATCTGTTCTTTTTCTCTTGGAGGTTTGTCTTGTCATTAATAGAACATACCTGCTGTTTCCTGCGTCTTTTCTTTTGTGACAGTCTGTGAACAAGGTGACCGGACACCAGAGGAATATTTGAAATGTTTGGCTACAATTTTGCTTTTCTGTGAGTTCCTTTTACTCTCTGTCTTTAGGGCATTTATTTAAAATCAGTGTTCCGAGTATGATAATTAGATCGTTGATGCACACTTCAACCCTGTCCATTTATTGATGGGTTACCCAGTAGGGTCATGACTTCAAGAGACTGACTTTCAAGCAGCTCTAATAATACTTTCTATGATGATGGAAATGTCCTCTCTTTGCTGAGCAGTACTATAGCCACCAGCCATATGTGGCTATTGAACCCTTGAAGCATGCCTTGTGTGACTAATGAACTAAGTTTTCTATGTTAATTAAGCTAATTTAAACTTAAATCAGCTGATACGGCTGGTGGTTTCCCATTGGATAATGTAGCTCTGGGGAATCAATAGAATTGGTAAAATATTCTTATGTTCAGGGACCAGAAGGCATTAAGTTATTTTTTTTTTAAGATTTCATTTATTTATTCATGAGAGACACAGAGAGAGAGAGAGAGAGAACCAGAGACACAGGTAGAGGGAGAAGCAGGCTCCATGCAGGGAGCCTGACGTGGGCCTCGATCCTAGGACTCCAGGATCAGGCCCTGGGCCAAAGGCGGCGCTAACAGCTGAGCCACCCAGGGATTCCCAAGCTAGTTGTTCTTTATTATTGGCACTTTAATGGTTTAGGTTACAGATTTTTACATATAAAACCACTTTATTTTTCATTTTTTATTTTTAAAGATTTTATTTTTATTTATTTATTCATGAGAGACACACAGAGAGAGGTAGAGACATAGGCAGAGGGAGAAGCAGGCTCCCTGCAGGGAATGTGATTCAGGACTCCATCCCAGAGACCTGGGATCACGTCTTGAGCCGAAGGGAGACGCTCAACCACTGAGCCACCCAGGCGCCCCATAAAACCATTTTAAATTAAATATTTCTTCAGTGCATGGCACAGAGAAGAGTCAATGAGTGATGGGATGGTTTTAATAGGTTTCACCTTACTCCACCCCTTGTCTCAGCAACTCAGGGATCCGGTGCGTCCTGGGTGAGGTCATTAACAAGTTTTCCCTAAGATTGCCACACCTGTAGATTCTGCTTTCGAACTACCATGGTCTTTGTGGGAGTCCTGGGGAGGAGGGTGCTGTGTTTCTATGTGTGCTACTGTCTATTCTCTTACTGCCAATGCTCCTGGGCTCAGTACCCCCAAGTCAAGCCTATGGCTTGCAGATATGCCACCTCATACATACTACTCCCAACCCAGGCCACTCCTGGACTCCTATCACAAACTCTTCTCGGGCCCTTAGAAGTCTGTGGCTGTAAGTACCACTCTGTAGCATGCTGACCTGAGCTTGTCTAGGGCCCGGCGTTTAGTGATGGCTCTTGACACCAGCATCTCCAAGGAGCATGAGAAATTCCAGGGGTCAGAATAATGCTACTGGACACACTTGAAGGGACTGAGAATGCATCACTTAGGAATGTCATTAGATGGATACTGTTTATTAAAGATTCCTTTATATTGTGCCAGGTATCAGACTAAGTGCTTTAAATTCTCACTCAATCCTCATAGCAACCACATGTCCCATTTTTACACATTTTAGATGTGTGCTCAGGCTCAGAGAGGGTAAGTGACTTTCCCAAAGTCACATAGCTGGGAAGCAGCCAATATATAGTTCCCATTCACACTCTTTGGCTCTCAGGCTTGCAGTTTTAATCACAGTGAAATTCATTATTCAAGAAGGACAGTTCCTCAAAATCAATGCAGAGGGCAAATCTAAAAGGAGCTTGATTTTAGGGCACTGTAGAGAAGGATTCTCTACTAATTCAAGCTCTTCATCACAAACACCTCACTCTGTGAAGCATGCTGTGCCCAGGAGCATATCATAATCCAGGCCTGATGCTGCACCTGATGTGGTTAAAAGGCCTTCTTGAATTAAGTGGGAGCTCACAAGTGATAGATGAACTCTCAGGGCCTTTCTGATTCAAATTTCTTCCGAATATAATTTCCTCTCTTGAGGACGTTTATTGCCAATTTATTCCCATATGACTACTTTTTTATTTTCCATGCGATTCATAAAGACCTTTCTTTTTCTGTGTGAAACCAGAATGTAATTTATTCGCTACTCAAATTTGCATAAACAGGGTATTCTCTTCCTTTAGCAAGCGTATGTAAGAATCCACATCACGTTTCACTGGGGAATAAAGAATGGCCTGGATCATGGAAACTCAAAGATGATTGCCAAAAGTATTTTAAACATTTGGCAGACTTTGTTTAGTTCTGTAAAATATTAATGATCAGTGACATGACAGGGAGGAGAGGAAGAATAAAATATCATCAGATTTCAAGTTATACAATGAGCTGTGAAATCATTGAGCTATGCTATTATTACTTAGTATACCCTTAGAGTTATATTGTGTTCCTTAATTATTTCTGATATGCTTCATATGTGCCAGGTACTAACTGGCATTTTGTGCTTCTTTACAAGTGCATTTTCTGTGTTTTGAGGGAAAATACATGGAATATCCTAAAAGTGTATTTGCAAAAAGTGCATTATCTGTGATTGGAATATAAGCTCTACTGGACATGGCATTGAAGATAACTTTATGGAAAACTGTAGGATTAGAAAGCTGTATGAACATTTGGGATTCACTTTGGCAAAGAGTAATCAATATGTATCTTCATGTTCTCTGTATGTGCCCATCCTACCTTCCACCTCAACTACTCCTGGTTATGGCACCTCCAAATCATGCAATTTGTGCCAGGGTTTGGAAGCGGATGTATACCTCATCCAGGGGCAGGGCCTTATGTCTATAGATGCTCCCATGGAGATGGTCATACATTATGATTATGGAGAAAATTTCATTCTTGAAGTGATTCTCACATGTGATAAGCCTTACAAAAGAAATACTACGCAAAGAGATGATGTGGTATATAAGGTAAAAGGCTGGGAAGAGCTGAAAGGATTTCGTGACAGGAACAGGTGGATCTGTATTTCAGAAGACTGGCAGGGCATGGATCAGGGAATCAAACAAGTCGGGGTCTCTAGCGTGGGAGTCTAGTAAGAAGGTTCCACTAGGTCGGTCTGGGAGAAGGCGAGGATTTCTGGGCAACCTAAAGAATGTGAGCGAGGTATGTAAGCAGGGAAACCTAGACACGAAAGAGGTTTGGGGAGTGCTGACCAAATGCAGCTTGCAGCAGAGCTGAAGAAAGGAGGAAACAGTTCGTGAATAAGCCTGGGGCCATATTGTGAAGGCCCTTAAAGTATCAGCAAGAACTGTGTGGGGATGGGGATCTGTGTCCCTTTCTCTTAGGAAATTGGTATTTTCCATGAACTCTTCCACATATTTTTGGCCTGTCTCCCCCCCCCCCCCACTTCAGGGTGAGATCTTTGGTCATATTTATTTTTATAGTACTAATTCTAAACAGATTCTAGGTTTATTTACTATATTGGTTGACTGTATATACATCACTGTGACTCTATAGCTCCCTTTATATGTACTGATATATTTATTGTACTAATATTATGTAATAAATACTAGAAAATGCATTATATATGTATTAGTATGTGACTTCTAGAAATTGAGTTGGTTTAAGAGTACACTTGCTTAAAGCAGATTCACAAAAATGTAGAGAATACCAATTTTAGCAGATAATTAACGTGGCTAAATCAGGACCGATTTTGCAGAAACTATTCGGCTATAGAATCTTAAGAGCTGTAGGGCTCTCAAGCATCATATCTCCTTCTTTCTTCCCTTTTATTTGACAGGTCAGTGCAAAGTCACACAGCTAGTTATCTGCAAGGCCCCCAGGGCTTAGATTGTTCTCTTTCTGCCACTTTCTTATCCAACGTTAAGTGGCCAATAAAAACAAAACATTGAAAAGCCGGGACACATTGACAATGAAAAAAAAAATTCATAGGAAACACCAAAATGGATCAGATCCATAATTCAGATGGGGTAGCCTTTTACTTATAGTATTACATTGAGCACACATGGAAAGTTTCTAACAGACCAGTTCTTCACTCACGACCAGGGGTACTCCCGGATTTTTTCCGAACAAAAGTTAACATGTGGGGGGTAAAGGGAACCACCCGACGCCGCACAATGAGATCGTTTCCTCGCGTGCACATGGCCCTTTTTTTACTCTGTGGTCCAGCCTGTGGCTGGAGCATCCTGGAGAAGCAAAGGCCTCGCACGTGGAGGGGCTTGAGGACTCCGACGTTCTCTTAACGGTGGATCGTGGGTGCGGGATCGCTCCGAGCTGCAGCGCGGTTGCCCGGGTCACGGGCAGGCACGCGCGCCCTGCGCTGGTCCTCCCCCTCCCCCTCCCCGCCCTGGCTCCCGGGAGAAGGCCGACGTCTCCGAGGCCCCGACGCCCCGGCACCGCACCACACCCGGCACGTGCTGCATGCTCGCCGCTCGCCCCTAAGGCTTCCAAGAGACGGAGGAGCAGTGTGCCTGCAAGATGACCGGGTCTGGGTTCCAGCCCGCGTCCATTCGCTTGGCGCCGAAGGTGGACTGTGCCGCTCTCCTGAGCTTCCGACTCGTTTTTGCTTCCAGGGTCCCCGAATGCACTCGAGGAGGAAGCAGGAGCCCAATCAGGCTGCTCGCCAGGTCCTGGGAAGCCCGCATTGTTAGGTGCCCGTTGTCCCCTCGCTGACCCCGGCCAGCCCCCCGGGAAGGGGGGGCGCGCGCTGTCGGAGGCGCTCTGAGCCCGAGCGGCGGGAGGGGCGGAACGGAAAAGCGGCGGAACCAGAGGCGAGGGCGCGGGGCCGGCGGAGGGAGGAGCGGACGGGAGCAGGCAGGCCCAGCGCCCAGGCGGCGGCGGCGGCGGCGGCGGCGGCGGCGGCGGCGGCGGCGGCGGGGGCATGGAGCCCCTGCGCGTCCTGGAGTTGTACAGCGGCATCGGAGGCATGCACCAGGCGCTGAGGGGTGAGCGCGCGCGGCCCACCCGGCTCTTCCTGCGGCGCGGCGCGGGCCACAGCGTGGGCGCGGGGGAGGGGCGGAGCGGCGAGGCGCTGGGGGCGGAGACGGAAGGCGGCGGGGGGCGGGGGCTCGGTTGTCGTGGAAACCGGCCCGGCGCCGCGCCCCCTCCCGCGCCGAGGCTGGTCCGAGGCGGGCTTGGAGTCGGCGGGACCCGCGCCGCGTGGGAGGGCCGGTCAGCCGGGCGCGGCTGGAAGGCGGGGCCGACGTGGTGCCGGCGAAGCGGGGTGGGCGAGCCCCCGGGCCTAAGTGTGGCTGCGGCCGGAAGGCCGCGACAGCTGCCGCTTTACCCGAGGCCGGCGCGGCGGGGCGGGGTGGGGCGGGGCGGGGCGGGGCGGCGAGGCTGCTGCGGGCCGGCGAGGCTGCCGCGGGCCGGCCCGGAAGGCAGGGATCTTCAGAGGGAGAGCTGCAGCTTCAGGGAGAAGCCCGGGAAGCCCGAAAGAACCGGGGAGAGGAAGCATTGTGGAAGAACCTGCTCACGCCCGGGGCGCTCAGCGGGGGAGCGCCTGCCTTCGGCCCAGGGCGTGACCCCGGGGTCCCGGGATCGAGTCCCGCACCGGGCTCCCCGCAGGGAGCTGCTTCTCCCTCTGCCTGTGCGTCTCTCGTGATCAAATAAGTAAAATCGTAAAACTAACAAAAAACAACTCCCCCCACCCCCCAAAAAAACCCCTGCTCATTTCTGATCATTGCAAAGAAACTGTAAAACTAACGAAAAACAACCCCCCCCAAACAAAACCACCCTGCTCATTTCTGATCATTGCAAAGAAACTGTAAAACTAACAAAAAACAATTCCCCCCAAAAGAAGCCCCTGCTCATTTCTTATCATTGCAAAGAAACCGTAAAACTAACAAACCCCTCCCCCCCCCCAAAAAAAACAACCCACCCTGCTTATTTCTGATCATTGCACAGAAACTGCGTGTCCTGTCTAGGTACCTTTAGACGCTAGAAGAGCTGAGTTGAAACCTAATTGTTTTGAACCTGTTTCCTGATTTTAAAATAGGAAAAGTAAATTTTTCAGGGAAGGATTATTACGAGGATCAAAGATAAGGCGGGGTAGGATGGTTCCCAGTGTCTGGTCCATTGTAGCCACCCAAGACCTTATAAATGATCGCTATCACGGTTACTTTTATGTACCCCTTCCATTTTGATGTTTTACATTTCTTTGGTGATAAGTTGGGGACTGGAAGGTTTATTTTCGGTGATGTTCTCTTCAAAATATTTCTTGAGCTCCTGTTCAGGGCCACATACTGTCTGGGTGCTGAGTAACAAAGAGACTTTGAATATGCATGTTTATTCTTAAATTACTTAGACAACCACAAAACCGAAACTTGCCTGCTTCCCTTTTTTTTTTTTGTTTTGTTTTTGTTTTAGTACCAAAGGCAGCAGAAGACTAATACTATGCGATACAGACAATATATAAGGAGTTGAACATAGTGAGTTTTCTGAGCATGTGTGTTGAGTTTTGATTGTAGACTCACGTAGTGATTTTTAAATTTTTTTTGATTTTTAAATTTTTATTACCAATTATTTGCTGGCTCTCTCCATTCAGTTCTCTTATCGAAACATACCAGCATGAAAAGAAAAGAAAATTCTAGGGGCCCCTGGCTGGCTCAGTCGGAAGAGCTTGTGACTCTTGATTTCAGGGTCATGGGTTCCAGCCCCATGTTTGGTGTAGAGATTACTTAAATAAATAAATAAACTTAAGGGGAAAAAAGGGAAAGAATTCTAGTACTATCTGTTCTCTGTTAATTTTGTAAGATTTTAATGTTGGCATTTTTCACCTTATCTTGAAACCCGTTAATGAACATGATTTTATTTTATTTTGTATATTTTGTATTGGAGTTCGATTTTCCAACATAGAGTATAACACCCAGTGCTCATCCCACCAGGTGTCCCCCTCAGTGCCTGTCACCCCAACCCCCTGCCCACCTCCCCTTCCACTACTCCTTGTTCGTTTCCCAGTTAGGAGTCTCTCGTGAATCAACACGATTTTATTTTATTTTATTTTATTTTATTTTATTTTATTTTATTTTATTTTATTTTATTTTATTTTATTTATTTTATTTTTTATTTTATTTATTTATTTTATTTGTTTTAATGAACATGACTTTAAAGTTTGCTTAGTACTTTATCATAAGCTATCATAAGCTATAATTCAACCACTCCTTAAGGGTTAAACATTAGATTATATCCCAATTTTTTGCAAGTATAAATGTGTGCTACACTTACACTCTTGAGCATAAATCCTAATTTTCTCTTTAACTGTATTTTCTGAAAGTTGAGTTAATTCATTTAACAATATGAGTCAATGTGCTAGTTACTAAGTCAAAAATTAAAAGCTTTTTAAGGCTTTTGATGGATAATATAGCAAATTGCCGTTCAGAGGTTTATGAGTGCCTCCCTCAATCACATATTCATCAGGATTTGTATTAGCCATTTTTAACCTATGCTAATTTGAGGAAATTGTATAATTTTAACTCGCATTTTTTTAATTAATGAAACACTTAAGTATCTTTTCTCCTATTAGCCAATGAACCCTGAATTTGTGCACATATTTCTGTTGCCACTGCAACCATCCTGAATCTAATTTTTATTAAAATAGTTTTGCATTGCTCCCGTTTCTACTTTGCTTTCCTGCTCCACTCTTTCCCACATAGTAAGAGAATGATTTTTTGCACAGTAAACTATATTATGTCACTCACTGCCCTGCCTTAATGGCTTCCCTTCAAGATTAGAATCACAGTCCCATCTTCTTACTCAGCCTGGGAGATCTGGCTTATGCTGCCTTTCCTACCCTTCCTTTTTATTCCTGTCTAACTTTAGCACATACCACACTTGTAATGGGTTGTCTGCAAAGAGTTGATAATCATTTTACCATTATGTTGATAAAAGCATAGTTTGCTTAAGCCCAAATTTTTGTATAATACAAAACTTAGGTGCAAACCACATAATCTATTCTCTAGCTAACCTAAGCAGAAAAAAATATATTAAAGGACATCTGGAAACTCACAGAAGCTATAAGACACCCAACAAACAGGTTAGGTGAACAGGAACACTGCTCAAACCACACTCCGGGCCTTGCCCCCACAAAGCTTCATACTGACATAACAGCTTTCACCAATGCTGGGGGCCAGTTGTGAGAAGTGCCATCCCTGTTTTTCTATGAAGGGTGGATGCTTCTACCATCTTTATCACCAGGATGATGGATTTTTTTTTTCCCTTTGCCGCCTCACGTTGCTGCTTCTGAATTAAAGTTGTATATGGATGCGGTTAGTTGGTGGATATTAAATCCCATTGCCAGCAAAGGAAGCTGGGAAAGTGAGTTCTGACTTCTGTTTTGGAAATAAGAGACTCAAAATCTGGCACAATTTTCAAACATTGAAAACAGGCAAAGACTCTAGATGGCCACAGATATATAGCAAATATATTTCACATTACTTAGTACATGTTGCCCTGTATAGGAAGCACTTATTACTGCCTTGATATTATTTATGCCTGCACAGTCTATAAAGTATTGGCTGAGGAGAATCTTCCAAGTGAAACTTTCTCCTTTCAGAAAGCAGTGGAAGAAGCAGTTTCATGAGTTATATATTAATGGAAGAAGTAGTTTCTTGAGTTATATATTAATGGGGCCTACAGGTCAAGTCTCCTGCAAATATAAGTGGGTAGCAAATAAGATTTTGTTTTTCTTATATAGTATCAGAGAAAGAGTAAATGTGGTTTAAGGTAGTGAATAAAGGAAAGCTCTAGCTGTTTACTAATATTACTATTATAGATATGTATCTATAAAAGTATATATCTATAATAGTAATATTATATATAATGTATATTCATATATAATGTATATTCATATATAATGTATATTCATATATAATGTATATTCATATATATATATATATATATATATATATATATATATTTAACTACTGAAACATCCTTCTGGGATCCCTGGGTGGTGCAGCGGTTTGGTGCCTGCCTTTGGCCTGGGGCGTGATCCTGGAGACCCGGGATCGAATCCCATGTTGGGCTCCTGGTGCATGGAGCCTGCTTCTCCCTCTGCCTGTGTCTCTGCCTCTCTCTCTCTCTCTCTCTCTCTCTGACTATCATAAATAAATAAAAAATTAAAAAAAAAAAGAAACATCCTTCTAGTTACTTACTATTATATATATGGTCAACTACTGAGACATCTTTAAAGTAAAAAGGCCTGCCCTACCAATGAATTTCTGAAGATCTTTAAAGGTATTGATTTTGAGTTTTAGTTACATAGTAATCATATTTAGTAGGAATCGCTCAGCCTTAATATTTTCTGTTAAAATATCAAGCCATTTGTCACTCATTATTTTCTGAATTTCTTTTATCTTTCTTTCTTTCTTTTTTTTTTTTTTAAGGTTTTATTTATTTATTCATGAGAGACACACACAGAGAGAGGCAGAGACAGGCAGAGGGAGAAGCAGGCTCCATGCAGGGAGCCCGATGTGGAACTCGATCCCGGGGCTCCAGGATCACGCCCTGGGTGGAAGGCAGACACTAAACCGCTGAGCCACCCAGGGATCCTTATCTTTATTTCTCAATGACTTATATGCCAACTTGGGACCCTACTGAACCACTTTGTACTTAGGTGTGCCTATAACTGAATCAGGCAAGTATATCATGATTAAATGTAGATCTGAATGTCACCTGAGGTTGTTTTTGGAACATCAGTTGTAAGGAGCTAGAATTTCAACTGCTTAATTTTTTTGAAAATATATTTTCTTTGGGATTGTAAAAATGACCTCTTTATTTCTATTTTCCATAGTTATTCTTATATGACTTGTTGCCAGATTTAAACTGAAGGGAGATAAAATGTCCCATTTGATCATATGTTTTCTGTTAGCCATAGGAGTTATTAGATTATTTTTTCCAAACTCGAAACACAAAGTTGAAACGTGTAGGATGAATATTGTATATT